ACAAATATTGCCAAACCATCATCATGACCATGTGTTCGTTGAACATAATAAGATGAATACTTCGAAGAAAGATTAGATTCATATAATTTAATAAATGATTGTTCATTTAACCAAAATTCTTGTAAACAGATGAGATGAAGTTGAAGAGATTGAAGGAGATTAATAATTGCCAAATGTCGAGTTCGCCACATTGATTTATGTGAACTTTCACGATCACTTTCCGATGTCAAACGTTTATAACATGGTGCAAGGACATTGAATGTACAAATAGAGAAAGTATTTAATGCCATTCTTCAAACACACACTTAATATAGTTTCTAGAAATGAAGAAATAAATTTTGTTTTAAATTAAAATTCATTATCCAATGGAGGACGAAAAAGCATATGAAGTCATGTTATTCTAAATAAAATAAGAATAACGCATCTAACTTATACATCAAGAGTTAGACATATAATAAACATTTTCGAACTAATAAATGGTATATCATCACGGGAAAAATTTCCATGTGATTAAATAATAGAAACTTATTTATCGATTCAAAGTCATTGTATTGAAGGAACAGTGAAATTCATTTTGTAATTTTGCATCCTTTTACAATGTATGTGATGAAACTATTGGCATATTTCCTAACGACAGAGGAGTAGTAATAGCTATAACAGTAACTGATACTGATATCATTCATTTGTGTTCACTTTTGAACCGTAAAAATTACTTAACAAAAATAAATACCATTCTCATAATATGAATGAGATTTTTTTTGCAAAAAAGATAGGTCACATTGTTAAATGAATGTTGGAATGTCATAATTAATTGTGAAGTTCTTTCTAAGACAACGCATTCTTACGATGAGAGAAAAATCAACACTAATTGTCGCTTTTGTTAACTTCTAAAACTAAAACCAATTTATAAGAAACTCCAGATGAAAAAACAACGTCTTCTTGTTGTGTATAATCAAGAAGAAATATAACCAATATGCCTATGTGGTCAAACAGTTAAATCATCTTTAGAATGTGGACGTATTTATAATCAAATCCACTTTTGAATTAATAAAGTTTTTCCTATTTTTATTGGTTATTGAAAAAGATGAATAAACAATAAAGTATTTCTGCCTATTTTCAACCAATAAAATTATTGTAGTTAGTGGCAAGTAAAACGACTACTGTATGTTAATGTCCCGTAACGACATCTGATGCAGAAACTAGTTACTGTTTATTCGATATATACGAGCAGTGAACATTTTTCTTAGAAGTTGCCATTATTTTCGTGTTACGTCGATTTCCACCGAAATACCTGCAGAAAACGGTCAGTAGATGTTGAAAATCTAACTGAAGGAATCGATGAATTTTTTCGGCTATCGGTTATGACAGGTTCTTGTCAGTTCTGGACCAGATTGTTCGATATGAATAATACCATAAATTAATATATTTATGTAATGATCTTAATGTTCTGGAATTTGGAAACAAATGAAAATCTCATTGCAGCGCAACGAATCAAAGAAGCTGATACATTAGTGCAAATGTGTAATCAAAATGCAACTAATTTAATCAACAATGAACAGAAGGAAGTGATCGAAATGTTGATGAAAATAATGTTATATTGTGTTGAACAGAATGATCACTGAAGGATCATTTCCGAAAAAGACAATATGTACATAGAGCTAGACAAATTTCAATTCTAATAACCGGATGTAAAATATCCAATTTAAAAATTGCGAGAGTTGTATTCGATTACATTTGTTTTGTTTTTGTCAATTGAAATTTATTGTTTGATGAATGAAGTAAATCACATGGAATTAACTTATCTCAAACAAGGAAAAAGAAAGAATACAAACAAAATCTCTTATGTCTACCAATTCAGAAAAGAACGAAACAACGAGTATATTCTATTCATATTTTGCTCCTTTTGTTCTTTTGTGAATGTATTTAAATAGTAAGAAAAAAGACAAGACGTCAATGCATCTTTTTCAATAAAGTTAAGTACATTTGCATAAATATTTCAAGTTAATCAATGATATGTCATCGTCCGAAACGTTTCCATGCAATTGTACAACTCCATCTTGATTATCTACTGAAAGTAAATCACCTGATGCACCTTTGCTGTCACCACCAATTACATAAATCTATTAATGAAAAAAGGAAAACATCGAATTGAGATAAAGTAATCAACGGGTTTAACTCACTTTGTCGTTTTGTTTGGGCGTTACTGGTTCCATGTAATGAAGAGGAACAACAGCACGTCGATCTTGTTGAGGAAAATGTACAGTACAAACACCATTCTAAAAGAAATTGTTTAATTCTTGTTAAAATTGATCGAGACAACTCACTGATAAACTTTGAATGATTCCAATCATTCCCACATGAAGAGATTCATCTTCATTGGGAATTTTTATGCGTACATACAAACCTTCAGCATGCCAATCATTATTGGATATCGAATCGAAATCTATTCAGAAAAGTGATAAGAAAAGAAAAGAAATTGTTCGAGTAACAAACCAAGTGATGTTGACATAGGTGCATATTGTGCACTTGGTGTCACAGGTGCAATGTTTATTGCAGTAGGATAAGCATAGTTTCCAGCTGGAGATTGATCGGGTAGACCACTACCGTGTGAAGATGAGAAACCACTGCTTGCTGCACCTGGCGTTGGAATATGAGAATTATAAACTAAATAAATACAGTCAACGAAATTTTGAAAACTGTTTTATTGAAAAAATTCCTACGTTGATAGTCCATCTGCATAGCTGGTGAAGGTGTTGGATGATTCGAATAAGGTGAATAAGCACTTGCTGAAGCATTTGAAGAAATGCTATTTGGTCCACCAGTTGAACCAAGTAATGAATTAACACCTAATGGATTTGATGACGAAGAATTTGACATTGACGACGAATTTGTTGTATTTGAACCTCCGAGACCACTAGATAATGTATCAGATAGATGACTAAAAGATGGAGTTGTTGGATTTAATGTAGCAAATGATGGGTCATCATCATCATAATCAACTCTAGAAAAACATTCTTAATTTACAAATTATCAATAAAAACATCGTCACACATACCGAGGCGTAGTGGCGTAATTAGGATCCCATGCTGATGCTCCACCATGTGCATGTGGTGTCATTGATCCATCATGACGAGGTGTCTGAAAAATAGACGATTACATTACTTTGGTTCAATTGAAAGTCTATACAAAGAGACAAACCATATTTCCGTAGTGAGGTGTTCTTGATCCATCGTGCATTGGTGTTTGATTTCCATGCATTGGTGTACGTGAACCTAATCCATAGGATGGTGTTTGTGAACCATGAAGTGGAGTTGTTAAATAATGAGACATTTCTCCGGATTGTCGAGAAATATTTCTAAAAGTATCAATTTTTTCATTTTTCAACAATGAATTCGATAAATGAACAAACATACGTCGTTAAAACAATACGATTCCTATCGACTGTAATAGTTTGACATTTCGAATGTAGTTCAACTTTACATGTAGACTCAGTTGCATCTTTAACAATACCGTAATAACCTTTATACGGTCCTTGAGAGATTTTAACTGTTTCACCAATTAACCCTGTGTCACGACGAACATTATTCGATGATGAAAACGGTGCTTTCATCGGTCCACTCGTAGAATTTGGCGTACGACCACCCGTTGATGCTGGACTATTTTGATGAACAGATGATCCACCGCCACCACCTACTGACGATGATCGATGTGGCGCTGGTGTTGCAATAGTTCTTGGTGACATATAAGGAGCATTGATTGGCATTGAAGATGTTGTAACTTTCGATGTTCCACCTGCTACTAACAAATTTCTCGCTTTTGCCACAAACATTCCTCCATTTTCATTAAATGTTTTCGTATATATAAAAACAAAATGTCGATAAATATGTTTGATTTGTCCTTGTTTATTATTATTTGGTCCCTCGATAACATTGACTATATCACCAATATTTAAATTATTATTTTGTGAATCTAACGCAGTCGCATTTCGATTGACTCTTCTCTTTGTCACTGATTGAATTGGTTGTTTAACAACTTTGCCATCCATACTTAAAATGTGTAAATTTTCTTTATCCATTCGAACGACAACGCCGACTTTATCAGCTGATATATTCACTAAATCTTTCAATTGAAATTGTCCACTTGAATCCACTCCAGTCGCTGTTTCTTTGCAAATTTGAAGATCCGACGTTCGAACGGACATTTCTTCTTTTGTTCCATCATTCAAAACAATTGCAGTCGTACCATCCATACCCACGATCATACCAGTTTCACCTTCAAAAGTTCCGCTTAACACTTTCACATGATTTCCGACCGAGAAATATTTTCGTAGTTCATGTGCTTTGAATGGAATTTCGTCTTTTAAAGCTTCGTGTTTTGGTAAAATTCGAATTGAATCGCCATCGATACCAACGATTGTACCTTGTAAATTGACTAATTCACCTTCACAAACTTCCACTTGATCACCCGCAGCAAATGATAAAACATCATTTTTCGATGTTTTAGATCTGTTGATTGCAACTAAAAAGATTCGAATTTCAAAAAAATGATTTTCGCCAGACTCTTTATCGTTACCATTGGTTTCTGGTCCGTCAATTGTTTCCTCGAATTTATCTAATTCAGTCATAGTTGGAGTGATCCCATCAGCTGACTAAATCAAATCGAGATGAAGGAAGAATTTTCTTTGAAATTACTTACGACAGCGCTGAGTGGGAAAACTTTGATGAGAAATCCTTTCTCATCATATTTTCCACCTTCAAATGAACGATATTCGTATTCTCTTTTGATTTGTCCACCAATTGCTCTGAAAATTCGTAAATAAAACACAGTTTTTTCTCTTCTAAATTCTTACTCGATCGCCGTTTCATCGAACAATTTCGCCGGTGGTTTTTTAAACGCGAATCGATTCTTTTTCTTGAAAGGTTGATTCGATTCTGGAACAATTCCACTTGGATCATTAGTACTTCCTCGCGGTCCTCCGCGTTTTCTTGTAAGATCGATTCGTGGAATTAATTTTAATGTCACCGTGTTTTGTGCCATATCACACTGTTCGACTTTTGCTAAGTCATCTCGATAAATTCCACGTTTCACTCGAACCCACGAGCCTTTTTTGATTCCATAAGTTGTCTTCATCACACGTAGAATGTCCGTCATGCCTTTAATCGGAACCATTTGAAGATTTTGAACATTTAATGCATGAATTTCTTCGCAAGCTGCTTTGACATGATTGGATTTGAACGCTTCGATGTAAATATAACCACGATCACCTTCTTTAACAACAACTGATTTGATTTGCAATGCCTTTGAAAGAAAGAACTACATGATATTCATGAAAATATGACAATACTTTGTCAGTGTTGTCTAATGCGAGAAATTTTCGCATTAATAACATAGCTGTTTGCTTTTCTTCACCCATTCGACATTTAACTGGCCAAAGGTTCGGTGATTTGACATCGGGTAAAAGACTTTGTTGAGTAATTTCATCAGGAATTTGATCATCGTCATTTTCATCATCACGTAAGCCGACATCTCGTCGACCATAACGTTCTTTCAGATATTCAACTACTTTTTCCGGTTCCATTTCACTGAAAATATGAGAAAAAGCTTATTGAGATGTTTTCTTGTACAATGAAAACCAACTCTTGTGCAATTGGAAATTTCAATCGACCATCTCGATAAATATCCGCAGCTGATGGTGATTCATAAATATCCTGTTCGACGAAACCAGCTTCCGGTTCATCGATTTCGTCTTCATCTTCTTCGTCTTCGTCAACATCTATGAAAACAATTGATCAACACTCTAGTCTCATATTATTTCCACACATTACCAGCTTCAGCAATGATGAACTGTTTTCCGGAGATTTCCTTCTTCTTTCGTTTTGGTTGATGACCCTCCTTTTTTCTTCGACTTGAACGATCATCTTCTTCATTCTAAATAAATTTACTTTCCCATCTTCTCAAACAGCAAATGAACAAAGTCACCTCATCATCCTCATCTTCATCATCTACTTCGTCCTAAATGATAAACAGTCAACAAATGAGAGCTTTTTCTTCAAAGATAAAACCTCTTCGTCATCTTCTTCGTCTTCATCATCTTCCTCCTCTTCTTCTTCTTCTTCGTTCACTTCGTCTTCTTCTTCATCCGATGCTTTACGTTTATTCGATTTGTTTTTATGCTATTTGAAAACAAAAAACAATAATGAATCATTTTTCAAGGCAAAAACCTACGTCGTCGTTGCCGCTCATGATCAATCGTATCTAAATCGATGAAAAGAAGTTCATCTATGAAAATCCGAAACAAAAACGTGACCTACTCGCTGTGTTAATTCTGAAGGAATGAATAAATGAAAGAAAGATGCTTGAATTTATGTACTAAATATGACTAAATTCTCATTGGATGAAATGTTTCATCCAATCAACAAGCATTTGCCATTTGCATAGATGATCAAGAAAATCATCAATGAAGAAAATAGTCTGCGAAAAGTTTTCTTGAGATTCGAATGATGAGTGAATGTGAATATTTGAAATTATTTATCAAAAACTGTAAAAATCATCAGACAATCAATTGTCAACGATCACTTTCAGTAGGAAAATATTCCCGAGCGGAAATTTTCGACAAATTTTCCCCGTTTTCGTTTAGTTTTGTAACAAAACGATGGCTTCGTTTTTTTATATGTTAACATGTCAAATCGAACTTGATGATCAAGTGTTTTTTACTTCAATTGAATTGTTAAACAAGTCAGATGTGAAGTTTTGTTTGGAGTTCCACAATGAACAATTTGTTTTTTTCGTTAGATTTTTGATTTGTTCGATGATTAAAGCATGTCAACAATCAAATGATTTACGAATTATGAAAGAAAAATGTCTTCGAGAGAAATATTTAATCACTATCGCTTGTTTTCGATTAGCAACACAAATTTGTGTAAGATTATTCACTGAAAATCGAATTCATTATGAGAAAAATTTGATTCTTAGAATCGATCAATTGATTCATCACGTTTAATCGAATATTTCTATGAACTTACAAGAATCGATTCGACTATAACAAAAACGAAATTCACCCGTGATCAATTAAATCAAACTGAAATTGACATTTTAACAATAATAGATTATCGATTTCCTTCGTACACTCCACATATGTTTATTTCCTATTTCCTTCGATTTCTTTGTAAGTTTCACTCGTCATTACAACGAAAGACATGAAAGTTTTCAGATGAAGAGATCAAATTAACAAGTGATCGATTGTACAATTCATCAATGCTTTTGCTTGTTCATATTTATCTTCAATGGTCTTCGTTAATCGAAAGTTTAGCAAAGAAAGAAAGTGGATCGTCGATTGTGAATAAAAGTCAAATGTATTCGAATCCTTTTGTTTTTCTTTTTCGTTGAGAATAGTTGATCTGATTTGTAGAGAAAATGTCACACAACGATTCAACGATTCTTTGTTACTTGGTTCAGCAACGATTCTCGCAGCATCGAAAATATTCTGTCATTCAACAAATTCACAACTTCATGATAAGGTTTGACTCCTTCATAATTTGATTTTTCAAATCATTTTATTTAGATCGTTAGTTTATTCGTTACTCTTCTTGGCATTGATCCAATGAGAATTTACTTGGCACAATTCTTTGCTGAAGAATTATTACGAAAAACGAAAGATGTTGAGACAACATCAAGAATACTAATCGATCGTGAACATGATTTTGATGATGAATCAATGATGACATTTTCATCACCTTAGATTAATGTTTGAGGTGTTTTCTGTAAATCGAATAAAACTAGATGATATCTTTGAATGACATACCGTATATTCTTGAGATTTATAATAGAAATTCTTACGCTAAAGTATAAGAAAGAACGATTTTAATTAATTCAGTTGTCCGTGTGTTCTGTGGTAGTAGTTCTATTGAGAATAACGGTACGATTACAGAAGAATAAATTGATTGAACGAAATACAGATAACCAGACCTTCACTAATTCACAACGAGATGAAAAGTGAAAAATTCGCAGAAAATATCATTTGAACTTTCACTAATAAAATGTTCAGCTTCATTTCATAACGTGGAATCGTTTGATGATTCAATACATAATGATCATATATACCCATTACGTCGTTTATTCTGATGATCATGAAACAAAATTCCCAATAAACACGGCAGAAAAAGTCTCAAAGGCACTCATAACATACTTGGAGTAGTAGAAAACCACGCTCTTTCTATCGTTAACCTCAAAATATCGATATTCTCAACGTTGTGATAGCAAGAATCAAGCAAAATTATGAAAAAAAGTGACCGTGTTGTATATTCTTGGTATAGAATGCACTTTTATATAACACAAGTTTTTACAAAATGATTTTTACGAAAGCCAATGAACGTTCAATCACGAAATAATATTTTCGTCACTATACCAGATTTACCTCTCATTGGTTTTTTTGTTTTATGTGATATTTGGAAATGTATTATACAGACACTGTTGTTCCAACTATTGAGAGCATCAATACAATGTTATTGTGTATGAAATTGTAATAAAATGTCTGCGATGTTAAACAAGGTTTTCAATAGCAAAAAGAATTTATTATTCAAAATCCTTTTTGCAAATACCGATTGGCGTCGAAGTTCAAGACGCATTTTTATGATGGTTTTTTTCGCGATCTTTGCTTACCCGAGATAAAAGAGCATTGAGGAGTAAATGGCATGAGAAAAAAAATCATCTGCAGACAGTTATCTGCGATATATATTTACCTCCAAATACATGTGTCGAAAATATTTTTCAATTGCAAACTAACTTGTCAACAATGATGAAGTGCATGCACATCTATTTATCGATCTTAGGTGTCATCGGTTTCGTTTCCAGTGAACACGATTTCGAACGACGTGCCGCATGTCCTGATTCGAGCATGTGCTTATCACAATGGGGTTATTGTGGAACAGGACCTGACTATTGTGGTACTGGCTGCCAAGCCGGACCTTGTACTGGTAGTGGAGGAAGTAGTGGTGGTGATGGAACAATCATTAATGAACAAACGTTTGCTTGTGCATTCAATACAATTGACGCTGGAACAAGATTAAATCGATTGAATGGTTTGAGAAATTCTGGTTGGAAACCAACGAATAAAGATGAAGCAGCCGTTTTTCTTGGTCATGTCTTTCATGAAACTGATGGTCTTAAAACAATCAGAGAATATTGTGCTCCGGGTATGTGTACTGAATAAAGCAAAAAAAAGAAGCAAGGAAATTTTCTTCGTAGGATGCGGTTCACATTATGCTGGTTCATGGTGTAGTATCCAAGGTAATCCAAATAAATTATACTATGGTCGTGGTTGGTTTCAATTATCTTGGCCGTGTAATTACTATGCTGCTGGACAATCCTTAGGTATCGATCTTCTTAATAATCCTGATTTAGTTGAACAACAACAAGATATAGCAGTCAAAACCGCTATTTGGTTTTACAATGCCAATAATATGGCTGCTCCAGCTAAACAAGGAGATTTTGCAGCAACAACACGAATTATTAATGGAGCATTGGAATGTAATGGAGGACCAGGTACAAATAATCAAATGGCTCGTGTTGCAACATATCGTCGTATTCGACATTGTTTTGGTCTTGGAGAACCAACTCGAAATCCAGTCTGTTAAATCTAAGGCGAACTTCGTCGAAATAAAATAGAAGTCTGTGAAATATGTACTTTCATAATATAATGATTCATATGAATAGACATTTTCTTTACATGTGAATGTAAGTTACAATGCAGAAGAGAGAAATGGAAGAAAACAGAAAGAAAAAAAGTTACGCCCAACGTGGGGCTCGAACCCACGACATTGAGATTAAGAGTCTCACGCTCTACCGACTGAGCTAGCCGGGCTTGTATAACGTTTCCACAAATCTCGCTAACATTCTTCACATTTCTTCATGAAAAACAAATTTGAACACGACTTTGAACCACAAACATCAATTTATCGTGCGCCTGTATGAGTCATACAATTCAGAATGGACTAATAGTGTGAAATTCAGCAAATGCTCTTTTGGGCTGAGTCACATGTTTCATATTTCAGATTGATATGAAGAAATTTTTCCAGAATAGAAATTTGTTTGGTTAGGTAAAGGAGTAAAATATGTAACTGTTTACTTCAAGGTTGTAGAGAGTCTGTACAATTAGAGAAAAAAACGAATAAAGATCATAAGCAACGTTCCAGTACATAAATATGTATGAAATGTATTACGCAGACGATGATTAGTCATTAAGTATAGGCTGACTACCCATACGTGTTATCTTCAGTGGCACCTGATGACTCATTGTTTCTTGGCGCGTCCTTCTTTTTCAACAAATATCGTCGAAAGCGAAGTACAACAAATGCTGTCCATTGTCCACACCATGTATTCATATAAAACTCACTCATGTAGACTCGCGATGGATATACAAAAATCAGCCAGGTGATAGTAAACGGAAGACCCGTGAGACCTCGTAATAAAATTTTTATGATATATTCTGGAGTTGAGATCCCACAAGGGAAATAGCCTTTATGAGAATCACTGTATTTCGCCACTAGATTGAAAAGTCCGTAGCAAACAGAAAAAGCGACAGGTGGAATAAAAATAAAGAAATGTGTTTGTGTCAGTTTCATGAATAATCTTGGTTTAGAGCGTTGTTCTAATCCATATGCGTATATACGACGAGCGAAACCAACGAAAGTCAAAATAGTAGAAATCAGATAAATGAGAATCGGGATGCAAATATGAAAAAACATGAGAATCACACGGAATGTTTTAATGGAGTGATTACCGATCCAGTCACAGTTGTAAACGATAAATGGTATTGAACAGCCTATTGCCATAACCAATAAAAGTACAGAAATGATTATCGATCGTTTTCGAGAAAAATTTGTTCTTGCAACCAAAAAAACAAGTAAACCACGTTCGAGTTGAACCATTGCACTAAACCATATACAAAGAAAAGTCGTTGAACTATAACCGGTGACTCCAACAATACAGTAAAATCTATTTCCTACAAGTGTATGATTTGTAAAATAGCGCGTACCTCCATCATATTCGAGATAACCTTCCATAACAATGAAAATACTACTCAACAGACATAGACTTGAATAGATGATGAGATAAACTCCACTGTTTGTTCGCCGTATCAATCGACATCTGATAAATAATTCGAGACACATTGTGTTGTTCAATACTGAGATACCAAATGCAACGATATACATGATGAAATTGATGTATTGTGTATCATAATAATCTTGTCTGCGTATAAACTGACAAATACTGCCCACATAACATTCGTTACATGTGCAATAAGTAATGTTCAATGTATAATTCATAACACAAGTACCGTTGTTAAGACATATTGAGTGATTCAAAGCACAGAGATCCATTCTATATTAATAAACTAAAATGAGCTGAAGAATTACACATAACGAATTCAACGAAGAAGGTTTCTGGTTTTACAAGTCGACGCCTCAAGTCTTTATTGCATAGTTTCGAAATTTTTCATACGAAAATAAAACGTAGAAAAAGTCCAGTGTCATCTGTTCCATCCAAATAAATAATTAATGTTTCTTTGGTGTTATTTTTGAAAACGAAGAAGTATGACTATGATACAATCGTTATGCAGAACGTAATGACAGGTCGTTGACGATCGCAAACCTCTCGTTTCTTACAGCGACCACATAGGAATACAAAAATACATTTATAATGACTTTTTCGTATCAAAATTGGAAATTGATACAGAGCAAGCCGTCGGCAGAATATATTTCTGATCAGGTTTTACTGATGGTTCGACTGTGATGAAAATAAGAAAACAAAAACATATTTATTCATATATCTGTAATAATATTGAACCGGATAACTACGAATCCGTAAATGAGTCAATATACAAATATGAAGAAAGTATAGAAAAGTGCAACGAAGATTTAATTGTATTTGAGTAATTCTCATACAAAAAGTTGAACAATTCTGTAAAACATGCTCGATTTCCGTCATCATCGTTGGTATCAAGACGGAATTTATCAAAAGTCGAATGCTATTCGAGCCAATTTTGCGGCTGATTCGAATCATCTGGTGAAATTCTACGTTCCAATTAGATTTTATGCATACTTGATGTCTTCCAAACAAAAAATGTATTAACGCGTACTAAAAGAATGATACAATTCTGACAACAACATTTCTCTCAACTCTAGTGCTGACGAAGGTGTAGCCCATGATTTTATTAACGGTGCTCTTGATATAGTCTTAACAGTCCTTTGGATACTCAATTTCAATGATATGGACCGATGCCTAGAATTTAATATTTGGGATGAAAAAGTTCATTTGACTCCACGACTCATTTTGTTATAATCTGTTTTTAACAAGAATTGTGTAAACGAATAATGGACGCCGGAATCATCTTTGAAAGAATCAATTAGCCATTTGATACTACAAAGAAAGTAAGATCTCGTATTCACTAAAAAATTCAACGCGGAGTTTAGAAGTGAGGTTCGTCGAAATGGAATACTACTTTTAATGCGGCTTAGATACCAATCGCAATGAGGTCACGATCACTAATTAGAACAATATTTGTAAATGCAAAAGAATACGATAGGAAATGAAGAAATTTGTATTTTCTATGTATATAGAGTAATAAAAAATGATATGGTATAAAAAGTTTCACTATTAGGCCCAGCTCCAAGCGTATGCCTTCTTAAAGACAATCATATGTATAATATTCATCTTCTGATTATATGGCTTCTGCTCAAACGTTGTAGCTGCTGATTATGAAATCATTTGTCTTGAGAATCACTCAATATCCAATAATTTCGAAGCACAGTGATGGATAATCTCATCTTATGCATCGCAACTAAATTTTGTGAGATGGAAGTACTTCGTTATGTTATTCAATATGTGCTTCAGAAGCGTGCAACTAAAAAGAGCGAGACTATATCATACGAATACTTCTATTCGTAACAAGTTCTTCGTTTTCAGAATACATCCTATTCCGCAATGTTGCACATTTCGAAATCAGTTCCGTACCCGGAATTGATTCCTTTAATTCTATAATTGATACAAACAATTCTGGCATCACATCCCTACCCTCACCCTCAAGATCATAAACAACACAAAAGTAAATAAATATGTATGAAATGTATTATGCAGACGATGAGGAGTCACGAAGTAAAGGCTGATCACTGATACTGTTATATCCAGCGTCATCTGATGGTTCGTTGGGCCTCGGCTCGTCCTTCTTCTTCGAAAAACATCGTCGAAAGCGCAGTATGATATATGCTGTCCATTGTCCACACCACGTGCATATATAAAATTCACTCATGTAAACTCGCGATGGATACACAAAAAGCAACCAAGTGATAGTAAACGGAAGACCCGTGAGACCTCGTAATAAAATTTTTATGGTATATTCTGGAGTTGAGATGCCACAAGCGAAGTAGCCTTTATCAGGATCACTGTATTTCGCCACTAGATTGAAGAGTCCGTAGCAAATAGAATAAACGACAGGTGGAATAAAAATAAACAAATGTGTATATGTTAGTTTCATGAATAATCTCGGCTGAGAGTGTTTTTCTAATCCATATGCATGTATTCGACGAGCGAAGCCAATGAAAGTCAGAATGGTAGCAATGAGATAGATGAGAATCGGGATGCAAATATGAAAGAACATCAGAGCAATTTGTAAGGGCCTAATATGTCGATTACCATCCCAGCCGCAGTTGTAAACGATAAGTGGTAATGAACAACCTATTGCCATAAGAAATAAAAGTACAGAAATAATTATCGATCGTTTTCGAGAAAAATTTGTTGTTGCACCGAAAAATAAAAGTAAACCACGTTCGAGTTGAACCATTGCACTAAACCATATACAAAGAAAAGACGCTGAACCATAGCCTGCAACACCAACAATACAGTGAAATCTTTGGCGCCCATGTGAATCATTTCGAAATACGCGTGTTCCTTTATCATAAATCACAAAACCGTCCATGACAATCAATGTACTACCCAGCAGGCATAAAATCGAATAAACGATGAGATAAATTCCAGCATTAGTTCGACGGATCAACCGACATTTGAGGAACAATTCAAGACACATTGTATTATTCAATACTGAAATACTCAATGCAACAATATACATGATTAAGTTGATATATGCTGTATTGTAGTAGTTTTGTCGACGTAGATCTTGACAAAAAGTCTCCTTCGTGACATTGATCGCACACACAATAAGTGATATTCAATGTATGATTCATGATACAAGTACCGTTGTTAAGACATTTCAAAGGATTTGAAGCACAAAAATCCATTACAGTTTACTATAGCGAAATGAAAAGGAGAAACTCGATGATTACTCAAGCATCACCCCGACAATTTAAATGCGCAAAAACAAAAGAGACTCGATTGAATGATAAACGCGTTTCCCTCGTGTTGTTTTCGAAAACGAGGAAGTAATAGTATGATACAATCGTCACGCAAAACGCAACCACACAGCGAAGACAAAAATACATTTATAGTCATTATTTATATCAAAAGCGAAAATCAATCACATTTGGTCGCTTAGTCAACTGTAAAAACAAGAAACCAAAAAATATTCATACGTATGTGTTAACACTATTGGAAAATTCCAAGTCGATAAAGACATAAAATGGCTGTATGGAACTGGATTTTGCACGTTTGGAAATATTTGTCGATCGGATTCGATACTGTACGGCAAAAGTGTGCGAAAATATCATGGAGTTCGGTATTTTATCCGAAATCGGAAACCAAAAAAGAAACGCTTGGAGAATATTTACGAAACAAAATCTATGGGGACGGAAATTGTGATTTACACGATATTTTACGTGAACACAGTAAAACAAGTTTGTCTCACCGGCATTTAAAAGTTAATGAACGTCGCCGAATTATCGAAATCACTGAACGATTCCACAAAAATCTGAAAAAATTGGAAATAGGTTCCAGTATAGTCGGTTACTTACAAATTATTGATGACACATTTTTCAAAAACCTTCCGAAAGATCCCGTTTGGACTAGAATTCAAAAAGCATTCGAAGAAGCTCGTCGAAAAGACGATGTAAAACTTGTTATTTATGCTTATACCTTGTCACAAATGTTTACAACGTGCTTAAACGCTCATTTCGCTGCAAATGCACATCATTTCCTCCAACTGTATTGTACAGTTCAGAATTGTCCAATTTTAAGTCGAACACAAGAATATATCGATGCTTTCAGTATTATTTTGACTCACCCTGACTTAGATCCATATGTAATTACTAATATAACAGTTTATCGTTGTGCATGTCTTCCAGAAAGAGAGTTTATCGATGCATATCGAAAGAATGATACGATTCTAACAACAACATTACTCTCAACTAGTATTAGCAAAGATGTCGCTCAACGATTTCTTCTTGGTGCTTCTGATATATCCTTAGCAGTTCTTTGGATCTTCAATCTCAATGATACGAATCAACGTTCAGCACTCAGTATTAGCAGCATATCTCAATACGAAGATGAAGAAGAAATTCTGATTTTACGTTACATTCCTTTTATAATCACATCTGTTGTTAAACAAGATGGTGCAATGACAGAGATTTACCTTACACAATGTTCAGAAGATATATCTGATCTAAATCAACCAACAACAAATATGATACATTCATTTCCCATGGACGATTCGGGAAGTGAACTTGAATTAACTGAATATGATCACAATGATCAACCTGTATTCTCGATAACTTGATCATTTCAACAAGAAAATCGATATTCTTCAAAATAAAATAGTTTAGTTCCATAAAGAATGAAAATATCATGTGTAATTGCCTTGTTCCCTCTACTGAAAGGAGGGTTATGCGTCGAGCAGGTATTACAAAAAAAACGAGTTGATGTTGGTTGGTTGGTTGGTTCGTTCTTTCACATCGCTGTTCGATAGTGACTATTCAGTGACCCTAGTGGAGGACAAAGTTTTACCGGAGGGTAATCGAGGTCGAGGAATCCGAATCCGCTGTTAGATTTCTGAAATTCCAATTAGCTAATTAGCTAATTGCTAATTGCTAATTAAGTAATGAAAATTTTTTTTGTTGTCGAGTAAGGGTCGACCGAAGGGTAATCGGGGTCGAGGGACTCGAATCCGAGGTTAGTTTCTCGAAATTCTAATTACCTCATTAGCTAATTAGCTAATTATGCAATGAAATCTTTTTTGTTGTCGAGTAAGGGTTGACCGAAGGGTAATCGAGGTCGAGGATCTCGAATCCGCTGTTAGATTTCTGAAATTCCAATTAGCTAATTAGCTAATTAAGCAATGAATTTTTTTTTGTTGTCGAGTAAGGGTTGACCGAAGGGTAATCGGGGCCGAGGAACTCGAATCCGAAGTTAGTTTTTTCATGAACACTTTCTAACCCGCTTTTTGCGACAAAGGATCAATTTTTTAGACGATAATGTTTTAAGCGGCAATATGTAGAGCAAAATGTAATAGCTGACTGACGTCCGATCGCTGGATCTCCATAGTCATAAGCATATTAATGAAATCACACACTTTTATAAACAGCTATACTATACGGATATCGTCTGATGCCAGTCATCTAAAATAATGTTTCGCTTGTCAGGTGTTGTCTTCGAGAGTTACAGTAGCATAAAGAGGGTGACTTTTAAAGAGGGAATAGAAGAGAATGAATGGACTACTTTCAAAAGTGGCTGTAGACTAAATGGAAGAGTGAAAATGTGCATGTAACGGCTAGCCGCGAGTGGCCGACCGGAGGGAGGNCGACAGACAAACAAAGATGTGACAAGATATGCGGACTTTTGTGAAATTCTTCAGTTGTATAAACAAAATTACGGAGAAGATGCGATCGATGTTATACAAGTTCGTGGACATACGACGAGATCTGAACAAATGAATTGTAAAATCAAAAGGGAATTCGCCAGAATCGATCGATTTGTTCGCAGAAAAACGCGTCAACACATCCGAAGGTGGCGGAAAACAAATCGAAAATACATTTTATGTATATAACATATTCATAGTCGATTTTTACAAAACTTACCAGATCAATTCGTTTCCTGATTCATTTTACGAGTTCAAAACTATATCCTGCGTGAGAAGAACGTATTTCATTCATTGTATTTTTGTTTAATCATTGTCTGAGCATTCCAAATAGAAACAACTTCACAATTGTAACTCATAGATGTTACCAGGACGTAAAGATTCTCGTTTCAATATTCACGTATGAATCGTTCAATATATTTATGAAACAAACCTCGTCTTCCGATTAGTTGTTTTACAAAACTGATTGAAGTCACTCTGGGTGCTTGTCACCTAGTATGATTTTTATCCTAAACAATCGTAAAGCATCACATTGCTGTCAGATAAGATATTTATGGTTTTTAGATTAACGTAGGTTTGATCAAATTTTCACCTGGCAAATTGCTTTGCTTCATTGAAAACATTTTAGATGTATCGCAGTTCTTCGGTTCCTTACGAGTTTTTGAAAATATAAAAGAAATCTATTCACTACGATAATCAAAGAGTGTTTTATGCATTTTGTGTATGAATAACACTGAATATCGTGTTTGGAATTGTCCTTAGAAGTATTCAATCGAATGTATTTGAATGTTCTCGTATACTACCGCATATTGAGAAGTTCCATGAATAATTGTGTGCTATTAGCGATAAATATGTTAAATGAAAAAAAAGACAAGGTTTATTTCAAAGGATGATTCTTGTGTGAGTATTGATAATCATTCTATTGTCATAAAACAAGTAGGCAAACGAATTACAGACTGTCAGAATAGAACTAGAAAAGTCACGTGGTTTTATCAGTAACATATGTTACTCTTGTTCTTTTCTAGATGTTCGAACGAATTAACGAGCAGTTTTTATTCCAAATTAAATGTTCATCATGAAAATCTGCAAACATTCCATGATATTAATTTATGCATTGACTATATCAAATCTCATTCTAGTGAAACGATTATTCTTGTTATTTCTGGAAGTTTGGCTTTGAAACTTGTACCAGAAGTTTATGATCTATCGAATATTTCTATAATACTCATGTTTTGTACGTCAATCGACAATAAGACAAAATGGACGAAGGAATTTTCCAATAAATTGCTGATGTTTGATGAAGAAGATGATCTCTTGGAGAGATTATGGTTACAAATCGAAGAATACTTTCGGAAACAAGCCAAACAATTTAGTGAACACGCAGATCAATATAAACAACGTGCGGAAAACCTAGAACAATCGTGTGGATAAATAACTATCCGAAAGATCTCTACTCGCATCGTTCAAATTAGCTAAGTCATCAAATGACAAATGACGCATTGCTGTTACTTTAAATCAATAAAATAAAAGGAAAATCTGGCACTAGGACAATTCGTCGACGGACAATTCGTCGCGGACAATTCGTCGCCTGGACAATTCGTCGACGGACAATTCGTCGCCTGGACAATTCGTCGACCGGCAATTCGTCGCCTGGACAATTCGTCGCCATCATAATATTATTAATTGGCAGCATTACATATGTAAATCAATTAATAAAAAAAGCTACACTATCACCAAAAATGTTGTTAGTGACACTAAGTGGAGCCTATCAATCTAATGGTACTGTGAACAGAAAAATACGAATTACTTGAAAACTAAATACAGAATGTTTCGAAAGTACCAAAATATAGAATTTAGAATTTGAATATTATAACATTACTGAACCTTTGAGCATAGAACATTCACTGAGCTGGCTGCGAAAGAAAAATTGCATCGTATTCACTATGTTAATAAATTTTTCACTCTTGTGAATCAGGTAGAAGTTTGGGGAAACTGACTGGAAAAGTTCTACAAAGTAGCGAGTGACTTTTATCATAGTTCCTTTACGCAGTATTCGACTATTTTTTCAAAATATCTCTGTTCTTATTAGTGCAATCCTCAAAGGTTTTTATCAAACACTAAATTTAGTCAGTTGAAACAATGGGCACTATATAGAATGAGTTTTACTTCGCAACGAACATCCTGGTTCTAATATGCTTTCAGTTAGTATTTCATCATTATAGTATGCAGAATAAAGTCCCCATCCGTATGGATTTCCGATAGGATCCGTTTTTCATTAAGAAGACGCTAGTATCTGATACTATTTTAGTGAGAAGTATGAAATATTTAGTCGTTTTTTGTTCAATCTGTTTCATTGCATATCGTAGATTTTTTTACTAATTACATTTTTCTCTTTTACAAACGTATTGATCCTTATGCCATGCTTACCTCTCTCTCTCTCTCTCTCTCTCTCTCTCCCTATCTGTACATTATGTTAATCTTGTTACAACTAATTAATTACACGAGTGAGTACTTGTGCGACAAATTATGATGGCGACGAATTGTCTGTCGACGAATTGTCCGTCGACGAATTGTCCGTCCACCGAAAATCTAATAAACAAGTAGACCTGAGAAGGATACATTGCATACTGAAGCTCACATAGTATCTTGTTGGAAATTTCCGTCAAATAGATATTTTTGATCGAATGGGATGTAATGATAAGTAACCGGTTTCGTAGATGTCCTTCACGTTAAATTGCAAAACTATCTGTTCCGTTCAAATAATTGTATTTTATATTTTAATGAAAAGATAATTTTATAAAAACAAGATAAGTTTACAAGGTGTTGTTGTCGTTAACAATCAAACCAAAGACCAAAGAAAAGGGAGAATGATGTTCTTTTATTGAACTATAATCGATAGTAAAAATTCTGTTGAATCTTCTTTTATTTTCGGAAATAAGTGCTGACTTTCTGATCAAACAGAATCACCAATAGCCGCAGCTAGTCGCTTTCTTTTTATGAGTGTTTTACAGGTATTCCGATAGACAAGGTAACAGATGACACCCACAGCCACTAGTAACACCGTAGCTGTAACCAGTAGTGGCCACAGATTCTCTAAGAAAATTTCAAAAACACGTGTTGAGTTTTTCTGAAAGAGATGATGAAGTGAAGAGTTATGCTTACCCCATGTTGCCTCACCGAGTGGTATATAGACGCCAAAGTACTTCACCATAATGTCACTGGGATGAAATGAAATGATTGATATTCTGTAAGTCTACTTAGTATTTTATAGATAGAAGTGTAGAATCTTCTGGCACACAGGAAAATTCTTCAGTTTGGTAAAGTGTGATACTAGGAATTTTCCAAAACATTTTCCTTTTCGCGTATGAGCATACGTGGAAAGGTCTCTACACGTCTCGTATTCTCATTTGTTTAATCTTCGATAAATTTTGCTTTTCTTCTCATCGCTCGGAGTTTTCCATCCATGTTTAGTTATTCGGAGACTAATCGTTGTCGATTGAGTCACTCATGGATGACTATGACAGTGAATAACCATGACGTCATCGATGCTGGAAATAGAATGTATTTATTACTGATTGGAGTGACGGGTGTAAGAAAAGTTCCATTCGAGAGATCTGACTGATTCATCAGCAATACTTGTTGTGCAATGCTAACGATCAGACGCTGTCTGAGTTACACTGAAGTGAGCTAAATGCTTCTGCGAGTTTCCGACAACTCATTGTTTTGCAAACACGAAATGACAAAGTGATGAAAATCTTGTTAGCTCAAACTATAGGGACATCAGCGAAAGAGCACGAAGGGGAGAGAAGAATCAAGAAAAAGTGACCTTCATGGGACTCGAACCCACACCCTCAAAGTCACCGGCAGTACTTTCTGGAATAGTACAAGATAGGCATTCAATAATTTAAACGTGATACTTAACTAGAAAAAAAAGTTTTCGAAATATTTTAGAAATCTCCTTTTATTTGTTTAATTAAAATATTAACATTTTACTCTACAATATTTTTGTTTTTATTCCCAGGTCGACAAATCCCATGCTCGGATCCGAAACACGGACTTTATAGATTTTCTAAGGGTCATCCATAGAATCTAGCTAAAAATAACGCTCATAAAATTTGCAACAAATGGCTGGATTTTTCCAGTCGGAATCCAATGCAATTCCGTCGCCAGGAATCCTATCGGATCTCGTCGGATGGGCGGATCCGATCGGCTCCCATCGGATTTGTTGACCTGGGTTGTTTTGTTTGTTGATAATTCGACAAACTTTCCAGAAGATTAGTTGTAATAATAACAGGTTTTGTTGGTCCAATTCATACATGGATTGTTTCTTAAGAAAATCGTTCAGATCATAAATTCTCGTGGTCTTGTGCATCCGAGCGTACTTTTTGATTTTATAATCGAGATAGAATGCTTGATTACTTCGTTGTTTTTCTCGCAATAACATTAAGAATTGCGAATCAGTGAGTCCAAATTCGAGACCCATAGCATTCAGAGCTTCATATACAATTGAATATCTGCTTGACAATTGTGTTATAACTATACCACCATTATAAAGAACCTTCTTTTGTTTTCTCGATATCCGACGATTGTCGAGTTCTTCGAAAAGTCTCTGTCGACTAAAATTGAGTAAATCTCGTATTAAGAATTGTCTTTCAATTTGTCGTTCTTTTTCACATCTTTGCTGCTCCTTTAATGTTAAACTGTGCAGATCGGTTCGTGATTATTCATTTTCTTTTTCCATTGCTCGTTCTTTTTACATCTTTGTGCTCCCTTTGATATTTAATCTTGCAGGTCGGTTTGTAATTGTTCATTTTTCTTTTCAATTTTGCTCGTTCTCTCACAAATTTCAGCTGTTTGAGTCTAAGTAAATATAAGAAAAATCGATATGGACTTTGTAGTTCGAATAACCATTACCGAGACTTATTTGAATATTATCGACATGGTTCAAAAGCCACATTCTACAGAGTGAATAAGTTCACGAAATGCTTTTTCACACAGTTCGACATCAAGAAAAGAATTTGTCCAATCGTTCTTCCACTTTTCAAGATCACTCTTGATTTTCTTAGATAAAATATCAATTTGTTGATCATGAATTGATCTTTTTGTTGGATGAAAATCATGCGTTAATGAATCGATGAATTCATTAAATAATTTCGATAAGTATTCACATTTGTCTTGTTGTTGGTGCTTGTCGAGAAATATCATTTGAGATCTATAAATTTCTCTTAATTTCGATTTACCATTTTCATTCACGTCCCAGGCCAAACAATCCGGCACGGAAATGGTCGGATTCGTCTGGTTTGGGCCGGAACCGACAGGAACATGTCAAAACCGGTAGCCGGAAACGGTTACCGTATTTCTCGGGCCGGTTCCGCTCAAACATGGCGAGTTTCCTCAGGAATTTTGTCGGAAATTCATGAAATCCTGCTTCAGGAACCATCGGCAGCGAATTCTCGTCAACACCATATTCTCGCTGTGACAAGAAATCTTCGTAGAAACTACTCAGATCAATCACAAGTTTCAATAAATGTAATTGAGCAGCTAAATCAGTGGCTCCACCATGTCAATAATCAACTCGAAATTGAACATTTTTACCAAGTACACTTGGCCATTGATGATATCATTACAAAAGTGGAAGCAGTAGAGCAAATAAATCGAGTTTCATATGGAAACCATTCTCTTGCTTACTTTTGTCCGTACGGAGAAAAGAAGACGACATTTCCAAAATTTGACATTCGGATACGATCGGAAACGAACGGATTTGGCCCGAGAAAGTCCGGCCTGGAATTCTGGGTCACGAAATCGCCGTAATGTTCTGGATCCTGCCAGTTTCGGACCGGATTGTTCGACCTGGGAGGTACAACGAATTCTTTGATTGTACAACTGTCATTTGATATATCTGATTATAGATGTACATAGTCAGTGGTTAATGATATCAATACAATCAATAGCGAAGCATTACACGTTCTTCTGAATTATTTCTCACCTACGTGTCAGATTATAGATGGATATAAACTTTATTCAAATCGATGATAGATATTCATAATATTCCAATGTTCAATTGATCATAATTAACTCAATAGAATGATGATGATGCTGACCTATCAGACGATCATTTTAGGATTCTTTCTCTCGTTTATATCCAATACATGCTTACATTGACCAAAATGTTTTCTCAATACTTCTATCGATAGCACATTTCTATTCATTTGTTCATTAATTTTCACGGGAAATTTGCCCTTCATATTGTTCTTTCTATGTTGGTTACATTCATTTATTACTCTAACTTTCTGTTCATTCATTTTCTTACATCTATTCGTATATTGTTCTCTTCAAGGGGGAAAAGCGGATCCTTATAGATCCACAGAGATCGATAAGAATCTGGCAGGATCCAAAAAGTTTGTAGGATCAGGCGTTCAGGATCCGCTTTTTTTCCTTGGGTTAGGTCAACGAGTAAAATATGTAACTGTTTACTTCAAAGCTGTAGAGAATCTCTACCATAAGGAAAAAAATCGAATAAAGGCCATAAACAACGCAAAAGTAAATAAATATGTATGAAATGTATTACGCAGACGATGAGAAGTCGCGAAGTATAGACTGATCACTGATACTGTTATATCCAGCGTCATCTGATGGTTCGTTGGGTCTCGGCTCGTCCTTCTTCTTCGAAAAACATCGGCGAAAGCGCAGTATGATATATGCTGTCCATTGTCCACACCATGTGCATATATAAAATTCACTCATGTAGACTCGCGATGGATACACAAAAAGCAACCAAGTGATAGTAAACGGAAGACCCGTGAGACCTCGTAATAAAATTTTTATGATGTATTCTGGAGTTGAGATGCCACAAGCGAAATAACCTTTATCAGGATCACTGTATTTCGCCACCAGATTGAAAAGTCCATAGCAAATAGAATAAACGACAGGTGGAATAAAAATAAACAAATGTGTATATATTAGTTTCATGAATAATCTTGACTGAGAGTGTTTTTCTAATCCATATGCATGTATTCGACGAGCGAAACCAATGAAAGTCAGAATGGTAGCAATGAGATAGATGAGAACCGGTATACAAATATGAAAGTACATGAGAACAACTCGTAAAGTTTTAATAGGTCGATTACCATCCCACTCACAGTTGTAAACGATAAGTGGTAATGAACAACCTATTGCCATAAGAAATAAAAGTACAGAAATAATTATCGATCGTTTTCGAGAAAAATTTGTTGTTGCACCGAAAAATAAAAGTAAACCACGTTCGAGTTGGACCATTGCACTAAACCATATACACAGAAAAGATGCTGAACCATAGCCTGCAACACCAACAATACAGTGAAATCTTTGGCGCCCATGTGGATCATTTCGAAATACGCGTGTTCCTTTATCATAATTTACATAACCTTCCATCACAAGCGAAATACTGCCCAACAGGCATAAAATCGAATAAACGATGAGATAAATTCCAGAATTAGTTCGACGGATCAACCGACATTTGAGGAACAATTCAAGACACATTGTGTTATTCAATACTGAAATACTCAATGCAACAATATACATGATTAAGTTGATATATGCTGTATTGTAGTAGTTTTGTCGACGTAGATCTTGACAAAAGTCTCCTTCGTGACATTGATCGCACATACAATAAGTGATATTCAATGTATAATTCATGATACAAGTACCATTGTTAAGACATTTCGAAGGATTTGAAGCACAAAAATCCATTACAGTTTACTATAGCGAAATGAGAAGAAGAAACCCGATGATCACTCAAACATCATCTCGACAATCTAAATGCGCAAAAACGAAAGAGACTCGATTGAATGATAAACGGGTTTCCCTCGTGTTGTTTTCGAAAACGAGGAAGTAGTCGTATGATACAATCGTCACGCAAGACGCAACCACACAGCGAAGACAAAAATATATTTATAGTCATTTTTTATATCAAAAGCGAAAATCAATCACATTTGGTTGCATACTCAACTGTAAAAACAAGAAACCAAATAATATTCGTACGTATGTGTTAACACCATTGGAAAATTCCAAGTAGATAAAGACACAAAATGGCTGTATGGAGTTGGATTTTGCGCGTATGGGAATATTTATCAATTGGATTCGACGCTGTACGGCAAAAGTGTGCAAAAATATCATGGAGTTCCGCATTTTATCCGAAGTCGGAAAACAAAAAAGATACAATTGGAGAATATTTACGGAAGAAAATCTATCACGAAGGAGATTTTGATTTACACGATATTTTACGTGAACACAGTAAAACAAGTTTGTCTCATCGACACTTGAAAATTGATGAACGTCGCCGAATCATCGAAATCACTGAACGATTCCACAAAAATCTGAAAAAATTGGAAAGAGGTTCCAGTATAGTCGATTACTTACGAATTATTGATGAAACATTTTTCAAAAATCTGCCGAAAGATCCCGTTTGGACTAGAATTCAAGAAGCATTCAGAGAAGCTCGTGAAAAAGACGATGTAAAACTTGTTATTCGCGCTTACACCGCATCACAAATGTTTTCAACGTGCTTAAACGCTCATTTCGCTGCAAATGCGCATCACTTCCTCCAACTGTATTGTACAGTTCAAAATTGTCCAATTTTAAGTCGAACACAGGAATATATCGATGCTTTCAGTATTATCTTAACTCATCCTGACTTAGATCCATATGTAATTACTGATATAACAGTTTATCGTTGTGCATGCCTTCCAAAAAGAGAGTTTATCGATGCGTATCAAAAGAATGATACGATTCTAACAACAACATTACTCTCAACTAGTGTTACCAAAGATGCCGCTGAAGTATTTTTTGTTGATGCTCCGCATATATCCTTAGCAGTTCTTTGGGTATTCAATCTTAATGATACGAATCGACGTTCAGCACTCAGTATTGGAAACTTATCTCATATAGCAGACGAAGAAGAAGTTCTGATTTTACGTTACGTTCCTTTTATAATCACATCAGTTGTTAAACAACAAGGTAAAGCAACAGAGATTCACCTTACACAATGTTCAGAAGATATATCTGATCTAAATCAACCAACAACAAACATCATACATTCGTTTCCAATGGACGATTCAGGAAGCGAACTTGAATTAACTGAATATGATCATAATGATCAAACTGTATTCTCGATAACTTGATCGTTTCAACAAGAAAATCGATATTCTTCGTCGTTTAAAAACATATCTTCAAAATAAAATAGTTCAGTTCCATAAAGAATGAAAATATCATGTGTAATTGCCTTGTATAAATAAGCGTAACGTATTAATCAACATCTGTTCCGACAGTTCTCTTTTGTCGTCGACCCACAAATGATAGACGAGAGAAAAATTTCTCTTTCATAATCATTTTTCTCCTTCTGTTCT